GCAGGGGGTAAGTTCCTTTGCGGAGGACGCACGGGCGAACGGGCAGGGACAGGAAAATGGATTTGGGCAAATCCATTTTGGCATACCTGTCAAGGAGCTTATTCTGATCCCCACGAACCATCCTTTGGCGCCCGCTGTGGGCCTGGCAATGAGTCCTAATGTGGCTCCCTAGTACAAATCCAGCGCATATCAGAGAGCCTGTACAAGCTCTCACCACACCTTGTACCAACAACCACTCACCTCTCTCTTTGTCACGAATCGTCCTTCAATTCTTCCTCAAACCCTGAAATATCGCCTCCAGCACAAGGTTAGGGCAGGAGCGGGTCGGCCATCAATATGTGTATGGTGGCAACATAAAGTACTGCCTCGCACAGCTACATCTCACAATGGCTACATCTCACAATGATGCGTAAGCGAACTGCTGCACTTCGACTATACCATTTTAGCACAACACTTAGAGCTGCTGCTTCAACGATAATTTATTTCTCACGTTTCTCATTCTCTATGAGCTTTTCTTTTTATCATGACTCATAATCTTAAGTTAATGCAAAATTCGGAAGGTGTTCGAGACAAAGAAATAATATGCCAGGGGAATCGCTCTGCTCATGAATTCTCAGCTTCTAAGCATGAGCGTTAAATGGTTCGTGTTAGTTAGCAGCCTGTCTGTTTGGGTACTCTTCTCGGGACATTCAAGCGCACCGCGACCGTCGCGCAGAGAACCTATCGGAAACATATTTTTTACCCACACTGTTGTTAGCAAAACCGAATAGACATGCGCAGGCCTATACAACTGGAAAACGCAGCAACCATTAGATAGCATTTACTTCCTAGACTATTCTACATACAGGCTCAGGGACCTCGCCACATAGGAGGAAGAAGGGGGGGCACGTGTTAGGACCCTAACTAGGCTAGCGCGCCCTCGGCGAAGCAGTTGTTCTGTCACGGTTTATGGCTCTTACTGTCCAGGATGTGGACAGCCCTCATGGTGGAAGCATGGCGGAATGTGATCATCGACCGTGCATAGTTAGGGTAGCTCTTCCCTCAGTTTGATGGCGTCACTATAAAAGCTGTGGAAGGTAGGCCGTGCTTGCTGTAGACATTCAAATGGACCGTCGACAGCTCGTGACAGACCTGCAATCTGACACCTGTAGCCGCCGCGGACCTTGAAATACGAGCATGGCGATACATCGCCCCGGCCGCACAAGGCCGTTGCATAGTGATAATCAGACCTCTTTAAACTGGCATGAGAGATAATAGAAGACAACGAGGCAGAATTCAAAGTCCCTGGTATGTGTTTCAGTCTTGTCATCGATATGGGGGCTGCGAGGTTTGAATGTAATATAGCGTGCAGCAAGGCGAATGGGGCTGAGCATGCAGCACTTGTAGGTAAAAATAGATTGATGTGTAGGCTGCTAAAACCCGTTCCCCGCCTCTGAAAAACAACATTAATCCGTTTATTTGTTCACTGTGCTTGATCTATCATCAGGACTGGTATATACTACTCATGATACGGCAAATAACTCCTTAAGGAACGGAAGGGAGTTGTATATGTGAATCAAGTCTGTTTTATTTACCATGGCTAACTTGCGACATGCTGCGCGAAGCTTGTTTCGGTCTAACAATGGCGGTCGCGTTGCGCCAGAGTGGATTGGATTGCAGTTGTTCAGTCGGTCAGTTTTATATTCTCCTTCCATTCTCGCCACTCGATAACGACATTGATACCCCACTATTGGGACTACTGTCTCCTTTTTTGACACTCGCCTACGTCTCCTTTGTTTTTATTAATCCTTAGATGGAGCGACAACCGTCGATTGACGTGCATTTTCTGAGTCACTCATTAACATTATTTGGATGACAGTCGAAGTCGCACTCCAACAATACCACCTTCTGATGTCATCGGCGATCTTGAAACACCACCGACTCTTCCGAGGATGAAATTAGCAGACACACGAGCACTTTCAATCTTCCATTCTCTCGCAAGAACTTCACAACGAGCAACAAAAGCATGGACTTCGCGCTTCCCCGGTTGGAGAGGCGGGCTTGCCAGTTTCGTCGCACTTGCGTCGTTGGTGCTCATTATCAACCTCACTGGACTTATCTGGGCTGTGACGCACCTGGATGATAACCCATTTGCAACAATTACAATGCGCAGCTGTGATGAGATATCGCAATTGGGGGGTTACTCCAGCCTTGTTATTAATGTCTTGAGTACTACCCTACTGGCTGCGTCTAACTATTGTATGCAGTGCTTGACTTCGCCTACTCGAGCTGAAGTTGATGCTGCGCATGCTGCGGGTAAATCTTTGCGTATTGGGGCTCTTAGTTGGAGGAATGTTTTTCGGTATAGGAAGAGAAGGATGGGTTTACTTGTTGCGCTGCTTTTGAGTAGCTTACCACTCTTTTCCATGTAAGCTCAGAAGGACACGATTTTGGTTAACCGCTGATCATGAAGCAACAGTTACAACTATGCTGTTATACCCCAAATGGCGCTGCAGCCGGATTTCTACTATGTTTGGGTTACCCCTGACTTCCTCAACGGCGCTGGCTTTAATATAAGTAGCAAGCTGGACCTCACGAATGTTGATTGGTATTGGAGATACACGCGGAATCACACAGTTGATGAATATTTTCATAAATTACAAGATCAGATTTGGAGGGCAGAATTGTGGGAGAATATGTCGGTGGCTAACTGTATGCAGAAGTACCAGGTGCCGCCATCCGATCTTGGTACTGTTCTACTTGTGACAGAGAAATTGCCTGATTTTAGCATTACTTCTTCAGTCACGAGCATCGATGTTACTAAGAATGTAACACAAAGTCTCCTCAAAATTGGCTTGGGCAATTACGGCGAGCCTTATCCGTGGGAATGGCAGTACAGGTCTCTTGACGAATGGCGCCGTATGATCCCTGGTTGGAGAACAGTCTACTGCCTCGCCAGAAAGGCTACACCTCGATGCCGCTTACAGGTCCATGTATGGTTCCTGTTAGTCGTGGTGATCCTGAATATCATCAAGTTAGGTTGCTTACTTCGAACATTCTGGGAACAGCAGGACGCTCCATTCATCAATATGGGAGATGCAATCGCATCATTTCTTCAGCGCCCCTGTCAGTTGACCAAGGGATCATGTCTGCTCACACAAAGTGAGCTCACGAAACACCTGCAGCAGGAGGGTGACAATCTGGAAGATTCAACGCAGACGAGACCAAGACGATATGAGGCAAGAGCCGTTCGCCTCTACTCATCCATCAGCTACCTTAGTTGGTCAACCTACATCATTGTGTAAGATTATACCGCAACTACGAATCGATGTTTACTAACCAAAATAGTGTTATGTTTGCATTGCTTGCTGCTGCTTCTGGTTTCAACAAGATTATCATCGTGTATCGTGACAACATCAAGCCAAGTCTTAGCATTTTCTGGAAATCTGGCTTTGGCAAATTGAATTTGTCTTTAGCCGGTGTCCTCCACCCAGATTGGTGCACCCAATCTCCCACATGCAGCGACTTGGGCTTACTGGAAGTCTACAATATGTTCGCTGGATCTCTCCCTCAGATTGTCGTGGCCTTGGCTTATTTCCTCCTCAATGCTTATTTAACACAAATTGTGCAGCTGCAGGAGTGGCTACGCTTGGAACAGCGTCGACAGGCTCTCAGAGTCACAACGCCGGAACCCAATTCGGAACAAACATCAACGTATTGGCTCTCTCTTCCTTACAGATACAGCATCCCTCAGATACTATCTTCAATGATGTTGAGCTGGCTAGCTTCTCACACTGTCTTCTTTACACGGTTTAAACTGTATGTCGAAGATGGAAATCATTATGACTATCCTGTTTCACAAACGTCACCAGATGAGATCAGAAGAATATTTTCCTACACCTACCGCAATGGGGAGTGGGGTCTCTACTGCATCGGCTACTCGCCGCTGGGAGTAATCTGCACTGCCCTCTTTGGCATTCTCATATTCGTGGTTTCGATTGTCATAAGTTTGAAGAAGCGCACCTCTGGGTTGCCGCTCGGCCCGTCAAACAGTTTGGTCCTCGCAGCAGCATGCCACCCGCCAGAGAATGACCGCTATGCGGCAAGGAATCAGATACAATGGGGCGCTGTTCATTCAAGAACAAGAGCGCGGGGAGAACCCTACCACTGCACGATTTCAAGTCGGAAGGTCGAAGTGCCGGTTGAGGGACGATTTTACGCATAGGGGCTTGGACATTTGTAAGTCAACGCACGCCCTCAGCATCCCCGCGCCGCCAATACAATGATATGTAGAGCTCTCTACAATAATTTTTCTTACCGAATTTTCTGGTTTTAAGTACGACTAGGTGTATTATTTATTTCCGGCAAGTAGTATTTACAAATATCGCGTTGGTGTTTTGATTGTTCGCCCACTGCGTGAGGAGAGTGTTGATAGCCCAGGTGTCGCCCTATCAACTTGATCTACTCTCTTAGGCGTGCGCGCACTGATATTTCTCAATTTTTTGCGCGGAGTAGAGAGAGAAGCTCTTTGATTACACCTTTTGACAGTTTGACCCGATTTTTGAGGTGTATTTTGGCCATCCGAGCTTGTTGTCGTAGGCGCTTTTGAGAGGCCTCCTCAGCTCTCGCCCTCGCGCGCGCCTCCTGAGCTTGCGCACGCGCAATACGCCTCTCCTCCTGTAAGCGCTGTTTAAGGAGCTTTTTTGACCTTTGTATCTCCTTTTTTTGCTCTTTTTCGCGTCTCTCCTCACCACACGACATCAACCCCCGCCCTCGTGCTGCGCCGCTTACACATCTCGAAATCGGTTTCCGGTTCCTGCACTCCAGTTAGTCTGAGCGCACAGCTGTTTAGAGAGGCGCTTACTAGATACGTCTTAGCTTTCGCAGGGGTAGTACCTGTGGCTCAGAGTGTGGCGATATCGCGAGCTGTGCCACATGTACCTCTACCTACTCATTATCTACACATTGCGAAACATCTACAAGGTCAGGGCAGGAACGGGTCAGCCGTCCTCTCTGCTCGTGGTGGCAAAGTGCCACCTCTGCTAAGGCCTTTAGGCTAACAGATTAAATCTAAGCTACACCTTCCTAAAGTACTCTTTATGTACACCTCTCTGTATGCCCTAGATACTTAGCGATATGATATCTATGTAAATTGCTAGCTTAATGAATAGCATGCGAACATTCGCGCTATACAGCGTGAGGCACGGTCTGCGGTTTCTGCTGAGCTGCGCGGTAGAGGAACATGACAATACTCCCATCTCTTTCCTCTGCACCCTCAGATGACACTTTAGGAACGCCTATTTGAAGCTAAGCATGGCAGGTGAGTTCCACGGATCCATCTCTGATTATGCCGTTATTCCTTTATTGCGAGTCGGGCAGTATTGTACGGTAAACTTCAACTTGGGAGAATATACCCGCTTGCACAGTCGGCCTTCAGCTTTCACACGCTGCTGAAAATTTAATCCCGTATAATCCTGTACTTATTGGCTTAAGCTTTGCCTTATTTGTTATAGCTACGATTGGAATATCCCCTGTTGTAGTCGGGCGGTTGGCTGGATTTCATTTACCCTGACCCCTCCCTTCGTTCCAGGATATACGGGCTGCTACAGTACTACTGTCTATCCTCTCTCTGTAGTGTTGTGATTGCGAACAATTTCATTAACAAAGTTTGTGCGTCGTTAGGGCCTATTATGTTCCCTCAGGCCTCAGCTCTGTCCCTATTATAGTCTTTTGCAATATCAGCTTCCTAAGGAGAAAAAGGAGACGAGCACGAATGAGATGGCACGGGGATGGTCATGGTCATGGTTAGGATCATTAGGTTAAGGATTGGGGGCCTTGTTTGATTTAATTTGATTTAACACTCTACTACTACTGACTACTAAGTTATACCCTACCTCCTTAATCTTACCTACCTAATATAAAGGAATACTATTTATATCTAAGTATTAGAATATATTCTAGAAAGTATTAGGAGTAGTATAAAAGCTCTTAATAAGCTTCTACCCTAAAATAGATAGATAAATAAAGTAAATAAATTAGATACTAGAGTGTAACGATAGGTAACTTACTACACAAGGTAAGAGGGGTATATCGCAGAGGTTTGTATAGGGTAAAGCGAGTATCAAGACAGGGTAATTGTAACGGGGTCGTCTGAGTAGGGACTTAGACACGTGACCTCGAAGGGGTTCTGTTGAGTAATGAGGGCCGTAGGCGTGGTATCAATATACTGGTAGGGTTGAACGTCAATCAATCACT